ACGTCGCTTCCTTGCAGATTTCCTGGGTGGGAACCTGAGCCAGGAATGCTGTAGATGAAGCCTGTGCCCTGGTAGAGTGCGCAGTGATCGGAGGTGCGGGAACACCTGCTAGGTTGTAGCACTCGCGGATACAGGACACGATCCATGACAAGATGCATTGGGATGAAACCGGCTGACCTTTCATCCTGTCCGCGACTGCTACGAACAACTGGACCGACTTTCTGAACGGTTTCATTCTCTCTATATAAAAGGCCAGCGCCCTGCGGACATCCAGAGAATGGAGTCTCTGCTCCCTGCCGCTGGAATGAGGTTTAGGGTAGAAAACCAGGAGGAAGATGTTCTGGTTGATGTGGAACTGTGAGAGACAACCTTTGGGAGGAAAGCAGGGTGAGGTCTGAGCTGAACCTTGTCCTTATAGAACCCGGTGTAGGGAGTGTCTGATGTCAAGGCCCTGAGCTCGGACACCCTCCTGGCCGAGGTTATTGCTACCAGGAATGCGACCTTGTAAGAGAGGTAGAGCAAGAAGCATGTTGCTAAAGGCTCAAAAGGGGGTCCCATGAGCCTAGAAAGGACCAAGTTGAGGTCCCAGGCAGGAATCGATTGATGGATGTGAGGGTATAACCTATCGAGCCCCTTTAGGAATCAGCTGACCATGGGGTTAGCAAATACCGAGCGGCCCTGCATGCCTGGGTGGAAGGCCGAGATGGCGGCTAAGTGCACCCGTATAGAAGACAACGGGAGATCCTCCTGCTTCAGATGGAGGAGGTAGTCCAGAATGTGCGGCACTGCAGCCAGCGTAGGGGGTGAATGGCGCTGCGCTGACCAGACTGAAAATTTCTTCCACTTGGCAAGGTACGTGGCTCTCGTAGAGGGTTTCCTACTGCCAAGGAGGACCTGTCTAACCCGGTCTGAACAGGAAAGCTCCAACGGATTTAACCATGGAGCTTCCACGTTGTAAGATGGAACAACTGGTGGCATGCAGTTTAGGAAAAAAGATATGTGAACTGTCTGAGTCAGATGGAAATCAGAGATTACATGGGGTAAATTTTGGATGTAGTCTTGGAGAAACCTCATCCTTATGGAAAATTGTGTATGGTGGATCAGCCATAAGGGTCTGTAGTTCACCTACTCTTGTAGCTGAGGTGATGGCAACTAGAAAGATGACCTTCATAGTCAAATGCGTTATAGTGCACGAAGGTAGGGGTTTCAAACAGAGCTCTTGTTAACATTGAGAGGATCAGGCTGAGGTCCCATGTCACAGGAGGTTTTAATCACAGAAGGAAAGGTTCTGACTAGGCCTTGCAGGAAATGTACTGTCACAGGATGAGTGAAGATGGAGTAGTTATCAATAGGAGGATGACAGGCCCTGATAGCTGCTAAGTGTACCCTTACCCAAGGTCTTCAAGGAAAGACGATATACCAATATAGTATTGATTTCAGAGTCCTTTGGGTTTATCTGGCAATGTTGAGACAAGACAGAAAAAACCTTGTCCACTTAGCTGTGTAGACAACAATAGTAGAAAGCCGATTCCTTGCTACTATTGTTAAGGATGGCCTGAATAGCTTCTGAACATGTTCTTTCTAGGTTTGATACAAATACCAAGCCATCTGATGAAGTGAAGCCAGAATGGGATACCTGACCTTGCCCTTGTCAATACATCCAGAAAGAATTGGGTACTGATGTGCAGACATGTTGACATTTGTAGAATAATGGGAAACCAGAATTGCCTGGGCCATCTGGGAGCAATCAGGATGATCACCATTTCATCTTGCTTGATGTTCCTCAGACAGCAAGGTATGGTGCAACAGAAGGGAGGATGAGCATTAGGTGTCCTGACCAAGGGAAATGAAGTGTTTCCCCTCTGGAGTCCTGACCTCGTCGCCCTTGGAATGGTAGATCATTCATTTTCTGTTCTCTTCTCAAACATGTCCCAGGATGGAGATGCCCATTGATGAAATATGATCTGTACCATGGAATAATGAATATCCCATTTGTGGTCCTTAGAGGAGTACCTGGCTGACTATGTCTGCTAGTTGTCACGAATCCCTGGGTGATTGTAGACCATGACACAGTGATTGGGTGACAAATATACCAGCTCCAAAAATTGACAGCCTCTATCCAGAAAGGGGTGATTGTGCTCCCCCTCATTTGTTGATGTAGAAAGCTGTTGCCATGTTGTGTGACATCACTTGAATATGCCAGGTCTGTATGAGTGGTAGGAATTGTTAGCAGGCCTCATGGACTGTTCAAATTTCTAGGAGGTTTCTGGGCATGATGGACTCCTGCGGAATCCACATCCTGTGCTGTATGTTCATCTAGATGGGCACTCCACTCTAACAAGGTGGTGTCCATGATCAGTATCTCCTCATACATGGGCGGAATGAAAGGGAACTCCCCACACACACACTTGTTCCCTAGTCTCCCACCAGGCTAAAGAAGCTCATGCTCTATGTGGGAGTGAGTAACTTATTTGGTGTGTATACCATCTGAAGCCAAGCTTGCAGGCAACAAAGTAAAAACCTTGCAAAGGGTCTCACATGTACAGGAAACCATGTAACCAAGAAGGCTGAGATATGAACAGACTGAAGCCCATGGACTCAGTCTGAGTTAAATGACAACTTCCTTTATGGATTGGTGTCTGGCCTGAGGAAGATATACTGTGGCACTGATAGATTCCAGTATTGCCCTGATAAACTCTATAGTTTGCATGAGACCTAAAATGGATTTTATATTTATACAGAGTCCCAGTGAATGTAGAAGATGGAGCAAGAATGAGGTTGCTGTCAGTACCACCTGATGAGATCTCTCAATCAGTAGCTAGTCAAAGTAAGGAAAAACTGATGGTCCGTGGCCTTGGAAAAGAGCAACCACTACTGATAGTACCTTTGTAAATAGCCTTGGGGCTGGTGCAAGGCTAAAGGGGAGCACCTTGTGTTGACACTAGTTCAGACTTACAGTGAGTCTAAGACACTTTCTATGTGAGGGGTGGATGTCTATGTGGAAGCAGGCATCTTTCATATCAAGAGTTGTGAATCAGTCATCTTTATTCAGTGAAGAAATTACTGATGCCAAGGTGGCCATTCTGAATATCAATCTACAGATAAAGACATTGAGCTGTTTGCATTCTAAGATGGGTCTTCATCCTCCCTTTTTGCAGGAGGAGGAAATATTTTGAGTAAAAACTTTCCCCAGTATTGGAGGCAGCCTCAGCACTACAGCACCCTAATGAAGAAAGGAGTTTACTTCTTAAATGAACATCCTTTCATCAGAGTGGTCCCTGAAGAGGGATGGGAAAGAGGCATTCTATGGTATAGTGGTATGAATGATGTTGAGAACCCATTTGTCTGTCATTATCCTCTGCCAGGCTTTTGGAGAAATGAGATAGATGGCCACCAAATTGGGTATCAGAGTTCTGGATGGATGAATGCAGCATCTGGAGTGTTTCACAGCTCTCAAAGGTCCTGTCAAAAACGTATTTTAGTAAAAGGCTGGGGTTGGAAGGAGGGAAGAGGTGGGAACATCGTACTTGATCCATTGCATCCTCCATGGTGGTTCAAAACCGCTCTGGGTGGTAAAATAATTGTAGTACTGGTTGTGCCTGTATGTGTGTGGTCTGTGGTATTTCTTCTTTGGAGCTGGAATGTTGATGTCCAGCGAGCCCAGCATCCTTCAACGAGTGTAACAAATCATTCATCTTCTCACTGAAGAGATTGTTCCCTTCAAAGGGCAAATCCTCCACTGCAGATTGGTCTTCCCTGAGGAATCTGGAGAAATGAAGCCATGACACTTAATGTGTGACAACAGCTGTTATCATCGATCTGGAGGCTGTGACTGCTGCAGCAAAGCTTGGAGGGATGATCTGGCAATCAATTTACCCACGGTGCCTGTCCTCCTAAGGAAGTTTGTGAGTAAATTCTGTGAATTTAGAATAACTAACAAAATGGTACTTGGACAATAATGTCTGACAGTTGGCTGTACAAAATTGCATACTGGTTGAAGTAAAAACCTTCCTCAAAAATAGGTTTAAGTGTTTGGGCTTGGCTTCTTTATTAGAAGGGGTAGACTTTAGTTGATGTTGCTTGCTCTTATAAGTGGCAGCTTGAGCTACTAAGGAGTTTGGGGAGATGTGTGAATAAAAATTCTGCTCCCTTGGCTGGCACAAAATGTTTCTGGGTTCTCCATTATTTAAATCAAGACTGGATATCTTTCTAAATCACATACTCTAACTCAACCAGAAATTATGGGCTTGATGCAGAACTTGCTGGGTGAGGTTCTATGGCCTGTGTTATACAGGAAGTCAATTGCCGGAAATTATGGTGGGATCAGACAATAATTATTTAATGACAGTAGATATTTAGATTCAAAAAGTTAAAGCTTTATAACTGTTAAAACACAAACTGGAAACATCACGTCAGAATATATAAAGTAAATATCCTTAAATCAAACTCTAATAAGTTCCCAACCTGCATTTTTCTTACTTTACATATCTGTAAAACTAATATTATCTGATAAAATCAGAATGTGCAGTTTAGATAATTTAGTTTTATTAAACCATTTTTCAACACCTCAGACTATTAAGTTACTACTTGGCAATTCAGAACTCAGATACCAATAAAGTCCTCAAAGGGACACTTTCAACTTGAAATCTAGTCAATTTCAAAACCTGAATTAAAAGTAGTGTTTGATACTATTCCTGCCCACGAATCCCTTTCCAGTTTTTATGGCTTTAGAATCACATTTTCTATTTTTTTTAAAATGTTATTTTCTTTCCTAATGTTTTGTGAGAGGCGCCAACAAACAGGGAAAATGACAATTGTGTATAATCAGATTCACTAAATGATGTCAAATGCGTAAAGCAAATAAACTGGAGAAAATAATTTTCCCTTTTAATGTCAGGAACATTAGGTGTTACAAGTAACAGTAGGCAAAATATTTTCATAAGAAATGTGTATTTTAAGTTGATGGTCTCCCTTCATGTGTGCCAGTGCAATTTTCTCACCTCTGTTATTTTTATATTATCGCCTGTATCTGTCATCTTCACTGGAGTGGAACGCTGAGAAACAGCTCCCTCATCTTCTTTGTCAGTCCCAGAATCATCCTCAGAACTACTTGACACTGCTTCCTCACTTGGGGGAGGAGGGGCACTAGCAGCTGTTTTGCGCTGCAGCACAGTTTCTTCTCTATTACTTTTGTTCCTATATATTCAAAGAAGAAAGACAGTGCACACATTTATTAAATGAACACAAAATACTTTTAAATATACCATACGTATATTCCTGAATTTTGGTTTCCATCTCATCTGGCATAGGGTGCAAGGAGAAATTCTACCTTCTGAACGTCTTCTGTTATTGTTGAGGGCTCTGCCCGTCCTTTGAATCCCCTATTTTTTCTTTTCCCTGGGTATTCACTATATCTGTACCTCTTCTCATACTGCTGAATGTCTGAAGTCATTTCCATGACTATGCCAGCCTTCCTCCATTTTCTGTTCAGTCTCTTTTTTCATCCCTGCTTTTTCTTTTTCTAAACAACTTTATGTATCTTTCGTGATTGATCCTTGCATCACCAAACTTTGTCAGTTCTTCTCTATCTTTGGCTCTCTACCTAAATTCTCTTCCCAGGTCTTGAAAGTTTAAAAACAAAGCCATAAAACTGCTGGATAGTGTTAATGACTTTCCTGCTCCCCAACAGTGCCACCTTCTCCCTGGTCTCCAAATCAGAGAACTCCCTTTAGGCACTCCATGCTCACATCTTTAACTGTATGACATTTTCTTTTGGATGTTCTATAGCTGTCTTAGAGCCAGTCTCTCCAAAACTGAGTTTATCATCTTTCCTCCTTCTCCCTCTCCATCACCTTGTGTCCTCAACACCATTGACACCTCCGCTCTCTCTCCTGTTCCTAGGCTCACGACCTTGGTGTCATCCATGACTTCTCGCCTTCTCCCCCTTTTCCAGTCTTTTATTTCTTCCTTTTTAACCATCAATATCCACTTTTTCCTAACTACACACTTTCTCATGCTACAATCCTTGAAAAGCTTTGGTCATTTCCTGCCATGGCTAGTGTCTCCCTCATTTCAATTTATAAAGAACACTGCTGATAAACACATCTTCCTCTCCATTTCCTCCGATCATGTCAACTTCTCCTTATTGTTTCCATATAGAAATCTGAAGCCACTTTATAAGGGATCTTTCCAGGATAGGGAATAAAACATTAAGGGATTGGATTCTTGGGTCTGTCCACTTGGTGTATGCAACAGTCTGGGAAAAAGAGGTGGGTGTAAAGGAGTCTGTAAGCCATTACTGTGGCTTCCTTATCCCTGGACTACTGAGCACAGGTCCAATCTCAAAAAGCAATTTAGAGCAGTTTTGCAGCTGTTCTAAGTTCCGCTGGCTACAACAGCCCTCAAAGGGTCAAGTGGTTAGCAGGGGACCACTGGAGCGTAGCAGTGCTCCAGTCATGCCCCATTTTCCCCAGCCACACACTCAATTGTGGCACCAACAGAGGTGTCTATGTCAGCTTTAAGTGACCCAGGAAATCATCAGGTATCCATTTAATTCAGCTTTAAGGTATGAATGTTTAGGGACTCTCCCTGGTTCTCAATGGCACTGCAGAAGACTGAACAAAGAGGATGGTAGCTGAAGGAGTTATTCAGTGCAGATCTGTCAGATGAAGAAAGTGGAAGAAACAACAGAAGCATTTGCTGGTACTTATAGATTGGAAGTTGGTAAAGGCTGTTTCACTTACTCATGAGGCAGTTTAATGACTCTAAACTAAGTTCAGGACATCCTGACACGGTAATGCCCTGGAAATATGGAACCAAAAGCATGGATCTGTTGTAATACCCTTGGTGATTTAGTGCTACACTTTGGAAAAAACATACAATTACTCTGGTCTGTCACTCATAGCAGGCTAGGCACACTATCACTTCTTGGGATTTCTATGTAGAGCGTAAACATCCTGATAACCTCTCGTAGATAGCTACCACTAGTAATTTTCCCCTTGGAAAAATACAATAATGATGTGTTTTGCAAATGGATTTTTGAGACTGAAAACAGAAGTACAAAAAAGGATACTCTATTTCATCCAGTGTTTTAAAACAAAGAGTTCAAGTACACAAGCTCATGAGGATATTTAAACTGGGAAGACCAGAGATCTTAGAATGCATCCTCGTAAATAAACAGAACAAGTTGTCCTGCTGTTTGAAACAAATCAATATTTAGATACAGAGTCAAACGATTTAATAAGTAACATTACAAAAAATTCAAGGAGGAGATTGGCAAATCAATTCACAGTTCAGACATGCCTCAATGAAATGTTAAAGTCTATTGCATCAAATGAAGGTACAGTAAAGTGCCTTTTTTAACCAGTAGCCACTGTTCCTTTAGAAAATAAAACATATTAATTGTGTGCAGCTCTATAGTTGTGTTCCATGCCAAAAGCATGAGACCTCACAGAAATGTCTGAACAATGTATTCTTTGTTTGAGGACACTGACATATACTACCTTAGAGAGGCGAGAAAATCAAATTAGGCTTGGAACTGCCTAATACAAAAATTGGAAAGAGCAAATGTGCAAAATCTTCTAGATTATGCAACCCATCGGGCCCTTATTTTGAAAGAACAGGAAATTATTTTTCCCCTTTCATCCTTATGCTTTATATCGTAAGTCAAGACCTCAATTTCCAGTCTCTCCTATCTTTGCCAATTAACATGTCCTTAAAGATTAGAATATTTGAAGTTCTGATAATGGGAATGATATGAATGTGAAGGCCCCAAGGTCAACATTTTCAAACTTGAATACTTAGAAGCCAGACAACTAAATAAATGGCCTGATTTTCAAAGACAGTGACTATCCACAGCTCTGACTGACTCCCAATGAATTATTTCATTCTATTTAGTCTTATTTCCAATAACTTTTCTATAATATTAGCAAACAAACTATATTTAGAGGCAGTTAAGATTGTGGCAGGACATACCCCCTCCTTTCAAAAATTTAAAATAATGGAAATAAGAAGTTAAGGGAATGACTTGTACATTCCTTTCCACCTTCATATTGATAGCATTGTATACTGTACCACACTACAACACTCCAAAAGGCCTTTTCTCTTCCATCTCCAATAGATACCAAAAAGCAATACAAACCTCACGTTCATCAAACTAGCACTCTAACACAAAACCTTTACAGTGACCTCAGCCGTGTGAAGACAGAATAACTTCCCAAATGCATGGGATGTGAGACAGTCAGATTGCTCATCTGTTGATATAACAGAAACAAAAGCATACAAGATCCTTGTTAAAGTTTTGTTAGAATACAAGTTTGATTAAGTTTAGGGTACATACTGTTCAGCAGCTCTTCTGTCTTCTAAGTTGGGGTTCATTGCTTCAATCAATAATAAGGATAGTAAATTGCATGGAAATTTAAACAGAACTTAGAAGAGGGGAGATTTGAACTTCTGGTCTCCCCTTTCTCAGATCAAGGAACCTTCTCCTAGACTACAGGGCTATTTGGATCAATCTTTCTCCATCATTAGCATTTGTGCAGACTTCTCATTAAATCATATTTGATGGGTTTAGCTTGGAGCACATATTTTCTGTTGTGGTTAAAATGCTATACAGGCACACACTAACAGATAACTGATATTCTAAGAATTGGCACATGAGAAGCCACAACATGGACAGAGGAAAGGTCCCAGATGTTAAGATTTCTTGCAAAAGGAGTACAAAAGAAAGTGATACAATCCAATAGGGACAAAAACCAAAGAGTAATTCTTACACATTTTAAAAATTATTTCAAAGAGAAATTAAATTGTACTCTAAATCTATATTCTATGCTTTAGTTTTTGCCATTTCTATGAGATTTTTACAAAATAAAGGGTTAATGCTCCTGTTAAAACGGTACTTTAATACAACCTTAACTATGGCACAGCTACTGTTGCACCATCATACAAAACAAAAATCACATACAGTAGCTCAATTCACCCAATGCTTTGTAGACTTTGGAAGAAAGAATTTACAACATAAAATATCAAACTCAGGTAATTTTTAGAAATACATCCACAATAATCACCTCTATTCAGCTTTTACTTGCTGCTGAAGAAAGAAAAAAACGTAAACACCATTCCTGAACTTTTATGAAAGTACAACTATGTTGCAGGTTCAATATTTTTAAATATAATATATTATATCGTTTCTAAAAATTTCCATAGAAAAGCAGATACCTCAAAAGTTAATGTAACATCATGCAGTCATAGCATTACTGATATGGCAAATTATCTACACCAATGGCTTTTTTAGGACTACAAAAAACCCAAAAGGTTACTAACCTTCCATAACTGTTGTTCTTTGGCCATTCCACTCCTGGTGGTGTGTGCACACCTCTCAAAAAGTCATCAGAAATTTTCCCCCTCAGTGGTATCCCTCAGGGTGGCTTGAGTACCCTCTGTTGCCGCACACCACTGCATGCTGGTATAAAGGGCCCAGCCATCCCCAAGCCTCCTCAGTTTCTTCTTGCTGGACAACTCCAATGCAGAGGGATAGGAGGGCGGGTTGTGGAATGGACATGTACATCACATTTTGAAGAACAGTTACAGAAGTTAATAACCATTTTTCTTCTTCGCGTGATTGCACATGTGCATTCCACTTTTGGTGAGTCACAAGCGGTACAGTAGAAGGAGGCAGAGTTCATGTACACAGACTGGTGTACAACTCGTCCAAATTTAGCATCATCTCTAGAGTACTGAGTGATGGCAATAACAGGATGCAAAGGTGTGGACTGAAGATCAAGTCACCATTCTACAAATTACTTGGATAGGAACTTGTGCAAAGAATGCCATGGAGAACCCTTGCAATCTTGTGGAATGTACCATCACTTTGCTCAGCAGGGAAATGCCTGCCAAACTGTAACATACACGAATGTAAGAAGTTATCCAAGAAAATTCTTTGTGAAGACATTGGGAGGTCCTTCAGTCTGTCTGCAATGGCCACAAAGAGTTGAGTTGACAAACTGAACTGTTTAGTCCTGTCCTAAAATACCAAAGCTCTCCTAACATCTAAGAGTGGAGGTGTTGCTTCTCTCTATTGGCATGTGGTTTTGCGTAAAATGTAGGTTAGTAAACTGACAGGTCTCTATGAAAATGAGACTCTAGAGAGAAATCTGAGATGAGGGTGCAAGTATATTTTGTCCTTAAAGAAGATTATATAAGGTGGTTTAGATGTCCGAGCACGAAGTTCAGCCACACTCCAGGCTGAAGTGATAGCTACTAAGAAAGCCACCTTCAGTGATAGATGCAGTATGTGCTAGAGGCTCAAACTGAGCCCTCATGAGCTTTCATAGAACTAGGTTCAAGTCCCGGGGTGGGGTGGGGTGGGGGGTGGGGGAGGGCTTATCTGAGGATACAGCCTATCTAGGCCCTTCAGAAATATGATTGCCATATCAGGTGGTGCCTGTTCAGTAGACTCCCCATTCCTCTCTGAAGACACAGAGCAGGAATGCCACATATACAAATTGGAAATGGGGGAAGGGGACCCCCCTGGGTTCCAAAAAGGCTACTGGACTAGTGGTGGGCCCCAATGACACCCCAACCACCCAGCCATATGCCTGATGGTACTCCTGCCAGAAGGTCCCTATCAGGGTAGTAAGACCAGCTACAAGGCTGGGAAATGTAGCAGCCAATCTCTGATTCAGAGGATGATGAATCTCCGTTAGCTGACCAAGGGGGAGCTGCTCCTGATGGTGCCAAAGACCAGTGCTGTGTCAGAGTAGGATGTAGTACAGCCAACATTGTAGGCTTCTCCTTCAATGGTATTGTGCGTGAAGACTGAAGTAAAAAGTTGTCTTGGTACTGAGTGCTGCACCGATGCTGCTGATGCCCATAGCACAATCTTCTGCACCAGAGATACCTATACCGAAAGGCTCACCAGACCTCTTGCTACTGCAAAAGCCTCCAGCGTAGTTGGTATTGAGATGTAGAAGGCACTCCTTCAGGCACTGGACTCAAAGGTACCTGCCTTGGTGCCGGAGTCAAGGGGGCTGGCTTCTGCAGAGAAAAGGAGTGCTTGGTTTTGGCTGCACTTTACTTATTCCCATGCCTAGAGGACTTCAGTGCTGGAGACCTTCCTCTCTTGACAGTCTGCTTATTGGGGAAGGTACATGATACTGAATCTCAGGCAACATAGGAGGCACACCCCAATCGATGCTGAGGCACTAGGAGCTGAGTTTGAATGGCCAGGCTCTGACAGAGGTCTCAGGGACACTTTCTTGAGCAAAAACTTTAACCTGGTTTCTCTGTCTTTCCTGTCCTAGGCTTAAAGTATTTACAAATCTGATAACAATCCTGAGTATGGGCTATCCCTAAACATTTTAAGAAGCTTGAATGAGAGTCACTCATTGTCATTGGCCTAGTGCAAAAGATACAGGGTTTGAAGCTCGGTGACCAAGGCATCCCTTGGTGCCAAGAAGTGGAAAACCCCCAAACTGGGTACTGAGAAAGAAACTTATCCTATCTACACTATTAACTAAGTATTAATCAACTAGTAAACTATCTACAACTAATTTACAACAAGCACACTCAGAGCACTAAGCAATTCCAACTACTGTCACGTGGCAGAAAGAGGAAGCTGTGGGATCTTGTAGGTGGTTGGGCCATTTATACCAGCACGCAGTGGCACACGGAAACAGAGGGCACCTGAGCCATCCCAGTGGGTACCACTGAGGGAAAAATTTCTTACAACTGTAAGTGGAGTGCGTGCACAAACCACCAAGAAAGGAATGCACATGCACAGTTACTTGAAGAATGGTGATACTCTTTTTATGATCAACATTCAGACCAGATCTTCAGATGGTCTTTTAATTTTATATTAGAACACTGAAAGCAATTCTAACTTTAATTTCTGGTGTCACATTCTCAAACTACTCATGACTATCAGCTGACTTTCTTTTTAGAAACTTATTACACATTTAAATATTTATTATACTTAAATCATACTGCAAACACATACACTATGCTATAGATCGTACATATTTATTAGAAAATGGTATATTATTGATGGAATGCTGTAATATAGTGTATCTCATGTAATATCTGCTTTTTCCTACAACCTTAGCTATAACTATAGCACCTTGTAATTTTTGTGCATTCTTTTCTGTATTCACTAATTCAGTCGACATTGTGATTCTGAATATATTGGACTTTTTTATTCTATAGTTTCCCTTATCTCTATTTCTTCTAAAAAGAATGTTGTTAGCACAAGGATACCATATATTTTCTTTTTAACCCATCAACACCATTTTCTTTAGATTTAGTTTCGGGAGAAGACAGTTATTTACAAAGTTGCTTTAGATGCAAATTAATGTTTGCTGCACATGCCAGAAAATGTTCACTATTCTTCTAAACTATGCCTAATCTGAACTATGTTTTAATGTATACTCTCACATAAGTGATTTTGTAGATTGTTTGTCTGGCATACACAGGGCAATACACAGTAATACAAGATGCTACTGATACTGTAATAAATATATTTGAGGCCTAATTCAAAGTCCACTGAAGTCCGTAAGAATCTTTCCATTTACTGCAAATAGGCCTTGGATCCCTTATACTCTCTGAGTACAGGTAGGTACTTGGGTTTTAGCCTTATGCCTCAACTCAAGAGCCATGTATGGCTTGTGTGTCCCCTTCATGTCATTGCTCATCTTGAACTAAGTAATTATGCATTTTGTTGTTAACTGCATTGTACTCGACAATGTTGATGTTATTATGCCAGTACACTATCTTAAATTTCATTTTATATGCAAATCTTACCCCACCGCTGATTTTCCAGTTTCATCAGGTTTCCGCACTGTAAATGGACTTGGATCAATTCCAACATTCTTGGGCATGAAATCTCTGAAAGAGGGAAGGAAATCAGCCATAAAATAAAGCTCAACATGTGAAATATGCTTCTGAAATTATATTTTGTCAGGTTTTTTGAAAATTCTTCACATCTACAAGTCTGAACGTCCTGTAACATTTAGTTCTGAATTTAAAAATTGTTGTCATGAATTAAAAAGGATTGTCTAGGTTAAATTTTGATTACAGGTCACAAACTGTCATGTAAAAATTAAAATCCAAAGAGATTTAAGAAGCCTTCAGTTGTACCACGCAGACTCACAAAACATGACTATGCACAGAGTTGTCACTTGTGAAGTAGGGTTGGGCTAATGGAGACCCAACAATGTTATTTTCATGATGGTGTTCATGACTCTCAGATTAGTTCAAATGGCCATTTTAGATATCATTCCCACAAAAGCCATTAGCCAAAGCATGCATGCTAAAAATATTTTTTAAAATACTCAGTTGGCATGATCCAAGGTGTTATGGCTGCCAGCCGGAAAACACTCTAGCTGATTGTTTTAATCAACTCCAAGCGCACATGATCTTGAGATAAAAACAGAACATATCTGAACAGAGACATAAATTTTTCTCCTAATTTAGAATTAGAATGGGCTTGTCCATATGGCGCTGCAGTTCAGACTATGAGTGTGTGGCTTGCAGAGCACTCTAACATGCTGCATTCTACGGGCCCCACATAGACATTGCTGGCATGCACAAAAGGTACCTAGTTCATGTTAACGTAGTCCTGTTTTAAATGGGACTACCTCAAAATGAACTAGGTACCTTTTAGTTCGCGCCAGCAGAATCTAGGTGTCTACATGGGGCTGATGGAGAGCAACAGGTTAGAACAGTCTATAATTCACACCCTGTAGTCTGGACTATGGCACTGTGTAGACAAAACTGCATGAATCCAAATGAAGTAGTCTACATTACCTAAAAAATGTCCTCTTTCCAGCTGAATAAAGCTCTAAACCAGAAATTCTCAACTGGGGTGGCACATCAAATTTTCGGGATAGGAGGGCAGTGAACCTTCTAATAATTCAGTAATTATAGTAAAAGTGTGGGGGCCAAGTGCCAGGCTGCAATGCCACTCACTTAAATCTGGCTCAGCCACCCTCCATCACACCAGATAGAGGGGCAGCCGGTCCAAATTTGAGCGGTGTTGTGACCCTGCATGTCAGGTTGCAATGCCACTTACTCAGATGTCTCACTGACTAACATCAGCAGCACTAATACAGGTAAGGTGTGTTTTTACCATTTGATTTGTATTTTGAGTAATTTGCCTGGTATCTCCTGAACAAATGCATTAGCAACACTACATAACAGTATCCTTCCCACTATTGTAAAGGGATGGTGATGGCTCCAAGTAAAAACAAATACTAAAGTGGGGCAAGATTCAAAAAGGCTAAGAACCCCTGCACTAAAGTAAGTTTCAGGTTATGTATTAGAATTGTGAAATCTAAATTATATTGTTTATAACACCACAAAACATACCGTATAGAATTGGTCATTGCCAAGCAAAAGGTGTCATCAAAACTGCTTAATTCATATGGCCGAAAGAACTCGTTGTGAATATCAATCTCTTCTTCATATTTGTGAAATTTCTTCACTATCAACTTCCTTCTGTTTTCAGTGCATGTCACTGAAAAAAAGACAACATGTTCTATTGCGAATCATTAGCACATTTGGAAAAAAAATCTATTTGCATACTCCTGTAATAATTTAACCAGATACACTTCCATATGTTTTTTCTATAGCACAAGAAATATGATCTAAAAACAAGACACATATATTTGAGGGGATACATTATAAAAGTTAACTAGTTAATTGGATTCCCTTTTACATTTACATTTCCGATTTGAACAGTCTTCCAGCTGGAGAAGTGGTGATGTGTCTTCCAATTGTATTTGAACTATCGGCTAGACCAGGGGTGGGCAAACTACGGCCCGCGGGCCACATCCGGCCCATGGGACCGTCCTGCCCGGCCCCCGAGCTCCTGGCCTGGGAGGCTCGTCCCCGCCCCCCTCCGCTGTCCTCCCTCCCCTGCAGCCTCAGTTCGCTCGTTCCGTCGCCGAGGCAATGCTCTGGGCGGCGGGGCTCTGAGCTCCTGGGGCAGCGCAGCTGCACAGCCCGGCCTGACCCGGTCTCTGTGCTGTGTGGCCTGGCTCCAGCCGGGCGGCGCGGCTGTAGCGCCTCCAGCCATCAGTGCTCCAGGCAGCATGGTAAGGGGGGGGTTGGGGGTTGGATAGAGGGCAGGGGAGTTCGGGGTGATCGGGGGCAGGGCAGTCGGGGGAGGGAAATAGGGGGTTGAATGGGGGCAGGGGTCCCAGGGGGGGGCCGTCAGGAATGAGAGGAGAGGTTGGATGGGGCGGCGGGGATCCGCGGGCGGTCAGGGAAGGGGGGGGAGGAGGGGGGGTTGGATGGGACAGGAGTCCCGGGGGGCCAGACAGGAGGTGGGGGCCGGGCCACGACCTCTGCCCCTAACTAGCCCTCCATACAATTTCCGAAATCCAATGCAGCCCTCAGGCCAAAAAGTTTGCCCGCCCCTGAGCTAGACTATTCTTGTGCGTTACCAATTTACAATACTTCAAGTCACATAAGACAAAAAACTATTTAAAATGCTTCCCTGCATGTGAATTTATAGAAGCCAAAGTCATATTCACAAGTCTACAATAAGCACCACATTCCCAATATCTGGCTCAACAATTGATGGACATTTGGCAGGTGTGATGCAGGCATCTCATATATGATAGTGAAACCCACAGCTTATTGAGAAGGAAATACCTGTCAGCTGTTATAACTGCACAGCTTTTATCATCAGTTTGTTAATTTGTGATTAAAGGAATAGATGCAAACCATTCAATGGCTGAATCAAAATAATCAGTATTTTTCAAAAATATTCTCAAAAACAAAAAGAACACAGAGCACTTACCCTCATCATAAGGCAGTGGTAAATGATTTAATACACCTCGTGTCCACCAGTAGGTATAGCTATGGGAGGGAGGAAATTCACACATGGAATTGACTTTATTATAATATTTTCTCTAGAAAATAAACATTCAATCTACTATCACATCTAAAAACATGCACACCACTTTTTATACACTGTATAGTGACCTAATTGTGCATGGTGGTTTATACTGCAGGGGTGAGAGAAAGGAAAGAACCATCATTGGCCTAAGAAGTTCAACAGTTCCCAGTCGTGCAACTGCACCTTTGTGGACAGACCTCTGAAGTCAGTGGGGCTCTATGCAGGTGCAGCAGTTTGTCTGCACAGAGCTACATTTACTTCAGGTGTCCAACTGTTTGGAAGCAGTTGCAGGATTGGCGCCTAAGACATAATGCATGGAGGGAGATCAAAAGTAGTATGTGGAGAGGGTGTCTGAGAAGACAATGGTCATAACAATGCAAAACTATCAGATACGCTTACTGGTTAACATCTTTCTGGTCCTTTCTTTTTTTTTTAAAATAATATTAACATTAAGGTTTTAAAATTTGAAGAGAGAGTATGGAGTGTGGAGATCAGCAATAATATTTATCAATAAATATTTGGCAAACTTTGACAATTTGCAAAGTTTTGTGAAAAATACAAAATAAGCTGGCTTCCTGACAGGAACGTTGATATTCTTAAAAAGACACCGACAGGAGATCTCATTCTTAGATCTGTATGATTAACAGAGTGCTTCATTACTGGAATATTTAACAACAAAGATAAAGTGCTCTAGTCACTCTCACTGAATGAAAATCAATAACCTACTGGAAAACAAAATGAAGCCTAAATGAAGCTTGCTTTTTCTTTCAGCTACTCATATTTACATGTTTCCATCTTTTCCTCATAATTATATCTGTAATTTTTTTCTAAATTATACCGACACCATTCCTGGAAGGAAAAAAAAGAATTATCTTTATGGCTTTTATTTGAGACACCATGTGATCCTAAATATTAAAGATCAGATCCTACCTAGGCTAATTCAGTGATCAGCAGCAGACACACTGTGGGAGTTCTGCTACGCAGATCCCTGTCATATACATTTTTATACCACGCTTATTGCAGTAGTATCTGAGAGCCTTCCAGGTATGCACTAAACAACGTGAACACATCCATCACATGTTTGTTCTCTCATCCTCTCCCCCGAAGCAGAAGTGTGTGCAGTGAAGTGTCTTGTTTTGGTAGGCTGTGTGTTATTTTTTTTTCTCTCTCTCTTTAAAAAAAATATAAATATACCTTTTATATGTTAGAGAAGGCACGGTCAAAGAAAGGTGCCTTGCACTTGTAGCGGAAAGTGGTGAGGTTCGTGACAGTCATTAGTTCCTCCACAGTCCCAGACTGCACTCGGAGAAAGTTCTGTCTCCTGGACAGACAAGCTTTACTTTTATTTTTGAGAGTTCCATTGCACCAGAGAAGCATAATTGTTGGCCACGGCCTTTTAGGTATCAAAGCCCCAGGCCATAGAGTGCTTTGAAGATAAGGACAAAGACCTTGAACATGATTCAAAATTCTATGGTAAGACAATATAAAGACCTGAGGACTATGCTCATGGTAGTCTGTGTTGCTGAGGAGATGAACTGCAGTGTTATGAACTAGCTGGAATTTCCTAAGTGCTAAAGCCCTCATGACAGGGCACACTGCATTGCTGTAATCCAGTTGAGAGGTGACGAAGGCATGAATAACTAAGGCCAGAACTTCATCTGCCAGAATCGAATGGAGTTTCCTTGCCAAGGGAAGATAGAAAGCATTTCTCACAGATGCTGCTATGTGAGAACTTAGTGTCAGAAGAATTCAAGAGAACTCCTAGACTATAGACTGACATGACCAATTGTGGTTGTAGATCTTCAACGAACAAAGACTGCACTGTAGCTGTAAGCTCTTCAAAATACTTTCCTCTGGCCACCAGCATCACCTCTGTTTTTCTTGGGTTCAGCTTCAGTCAGCTGTTCTTCATCCAAGAGCTGATCTCACCTAAGCACTGTCTTGCTGCTGGCACTGAGGATGAGTTGGGTGACAGGGGAAGAGCCCAATTTCCATGATTCCAGACTCCTTCCATTTTGTTCTCTCTCCATGAATTCAAGAGGAAGTGTATACCACTCATGAAATATTTTCTTTCTGAATGAAAGAGGAGACAGGCCTGGGAAGTGGAAAGAAGTTTCTGTTACAGCAAGTTACTTTTTCCCTCTCTTCCCATGGCCCCAAACATAGTATTTTTCATCATTTTTATTTTATTGTCATAGTGGCCAAGGGCCCCAGTCATGACTGGAACCCCTGCGGCTGCTTGCCCTCCCTATACACCCACTTATGTTGTGGTGTGGTGCAGCAATGACCATCTCTACTTCCCTCCAGGCCTTCCGTTGATCTGTCCAGCCTCCACCACGTTCCAGGTTGAGCAGATTTAGTGTTCCAGTTAGGGTACGTAACACTTCCACTATTTCTGCAGTATCCAAAGTCAAAAATTGACAAAACAAAACAACTCTTCTGTGCCTTCTGGGCTCTTTGCACCTCCCAGGCTCTGCAGTGTACCAAGCAAACAAATGATTCCATGCAAGTTTAAGTCAATTGTTGATAGCCAAACATGGCAATCATCTGGGACCAAGCCTATCTTCCATTGTGGGAGCTCTGATAGGCCACAGTCTTCCTCAGTTCCTGGCTCCAGCCCGGCTTCTCTTCCGCAGTAAGAGAGCTGAAGGTCTAAACCAGCCTTCAACTGACAGGGGCTCGCCCCTTTTAGCTCCTTCCTTGAAGCTTGATGCATGCTTCTGGTGTCATGGGTGGGGTTGATTTGGCCCCCAATCGCATATTAACCCCTTCCTGACTCAAATTCTGTTTGTACACACAGTCACAGCCCCAGTTTCCTTGGTGCTGTACAAATACATCAGATTGTGTCTTCTTAAGAGATCACAATTTAATCTGGCATAAGCAAACAGATATATATTTCTATATCACCAGTCTCCTGTCTATCTATATCTCAGTTATCTACAGTATCTACTGTACTCAGAAGGCATTATTTCCACATGAAACAATTTTGCCTGTATATTATGAACTCTAATCAGAAAAACTAAAAATGACAAATTCTGACCAGAAGAATATGTGCGTGTGTGTGTGTGTGTGTGTGTGTGTGTATGTATGTATATATATATACACACACATACATATATATATACACATACCAAGAACAGTTAACATGTGTGTGTGTGTGTGTGTACACACACACACACACACACACACACACACACACACACACACACACA